AATCTATCACTTTCATATCTTCTAAAGCTATTTCCCCAAGTTCTGTCGCGACAAGGAATAGATCCTTTTTCTTAGCTTTCCCCAAAAATGCCATTTTCACAAAAGTAATTGCTCAAAACAAATAAGAACTCAAATAGTTATTCACAAATAATACACATAAAAATATATCAGAGATATAAAAAAACACTAACTTTTCTTCTTTCTTACAAAATTAGGCAAATGAAAATAAAAGGTTAATAAAAGCATTAATCACTGTGGATTTATTTCCATTCAAACATAAAACGAATAAACAACCTTACTGAATACTTCGTATAAAAAAAATAACAAATTCTTTTCATTTAGTACAGCCAGACAGAAAAAACCCAGAGTGGCGCCAATAAATATAAACACCTTTAATTAACTATCGTTTTCATGACAGCTACTTCCGTTGCAACCACATGGCCAACGAAATTATTACGTAAATTCGATAGGCGCAGGTTTAAATCAGAACACTATTAGAACTTTTCTTTACTGCTCAAAGCTTTAAAATGTAAAATGAAATGATAAAATTTAACATTCTACTTATCAGAAAAAACACATCATATTAAAATACAGCATTGGTGTGCTTTCATGAGAAAACCAAAGTAACAAGTTTTTAATATATTCAACAACTTATTTCTTTCACAAGAATTTAACATAAATTTTCTTCTAATGACTTAGAAATGAAAATTGCAATATTGCACTGATGTGCTTTCACCTATACACAAAATAAACAGTTCAGATTCTATCACACCAATTTATAACGAAACGTTAAACATAAATACACTGATGTGCTGTTTATTCACGGGAATGGATTTTTCCCATTATCATACAAAAGAAAAATATCTCGTTAGATATATAAATGCGACGCTTTGATTGTTTTAAAAAAAAACTCTTATGCAATGACGTGCCATAAAATGCACTGATGTGCTACGTGTTAATGGGAAAATGTTTTCCCGAATATACCACAAAAGGAAAATATCTTGTTATATATACTATAAACCAAACACATCGAGTGTTTAAAACTCTTATGCACTGATGTGCTACTTCTGCTTTGGGAATTGATTTCCCTAATAACTTGAGTACATATCCGAGTTGGTGACTATGATCAGAGACGTTAACGAAGATAGCACTCGTCATCACTCGACAAATTTAGTCTCCACACCTCAGCTCGCTGGCGGAACTTCCTCTCTGACAGGCGTCTCAGAAATCTCATCTCTTTACGCATGCGTAATTCTCAGTTAAGTCGTTGCCATTCACAGTTCTTTAAATAAGGTGTTAAAATGAATTATAGTACTCGTAGTGTGAGGAGTTTGCTAACGACATTCTCTCTAGTCAAGAGCATCATAGGTCTTTCTAGTAGAGAATTCAGGAACGTTCTTTACACTGGTTAATAAAGTTTTCTGCTGGTCTTTCCTTTAAAAGTAAAGAAACATATGCTAGGGAATCATTTACATCAGAAATTTCTTTCCTTTGAATTACTCATTAGAACCCATCGCAAATCTGTCTACATAGCGACTGGGCCACTTTGTAAATATTTAATATTTCTAGTGAATAATTTTTCTGCAATATCAGAAGATATCAGCAATTTAATGTCACTTTGATTTCAAGATTGTCTTTGTCATCTTTTATACGCGGATATTTTATTTGCTCTATGCTTTCAACCAAGGACCTTAAGGTATTTTCTTTACATCAGAACAAATGACTGTGATTCACTTAAACAAGGTACATTACATTCATTTTTATTATCAAGACTACTCAAACGAACTGTATACTTAGATTGTAGTTTTTCTTTCGTTTATACCCCACCCAATAATTTACAAATTAATTTCACTCCTATTTTTTTCACACCTCAAAATATCTAATATTTTCAGATTGACTTTGCTCTCAGCTTATCTAAATAACCCTTGTTGTGATTATTTTCCCATTTCAATTTTGTTATTCTAACAGTTAATAATTTTAATAAAATATCGAGTTTGCCGTTATTTTTCACTTCATGACCTGAAGTAAATTTGTTTATTCTTTTTAAGTTGGGAGGGAATATGCTAACACATTACTGCCAAATGCCTTTTCATACTGATTAAACATTTAACTTTCAGTTTTGAGAAATGTGATTTCTTTTTAAATGTATTAGACATGCTTTCTTCTTAAGTATTAAGTCTTTTATATCCTCACATGTAAATGTACTACTTTTAAAGCATTTTTCTATCGGATGTGATTTATCACAAAATGTTCATGAATCTTGAGACTTTTTAACTCTCCTATATACAGATCATTACAAGTAGGAATATTATTAGATTCACCAGTAACACAATTTTTAGAAAATTTTCTGCTTTTATCAAAAGGGAACTTAATTCTTTCCTCAAGCATAACTTCATTTTTTAAAAACAGAAGAAAACTTCAAGATCACTCTTACCGTTGTGAGATGAACTCTCCTGTACTCTTTCCCAAATGCTAAAAAGGTTGGCAGGTAGGCATCAATGGAAAAATAATGCTGCCATATTTATCTTGTGTAATGCCAAGATTCGACAACACACAATTTTGTTTATAAATTATCATGTAACAATGACAGGCTAAAGTCCTTCTTCGCTGCATTATTATTATTTATTAATACAAGATTTAGTCATGTGCGAATGTAGATTTGAGTCGGAGTATCCTCTTATGCAAAATGGCTCTCAAAATATGCAATAAGTTTGCCAGCTTATAACATACCATAGAAAACTTCATGCCAAGCAGCAGGTTTACTTTCTCTGGTTTGTAAAATTCCAGATCTGCTAAATTTATCTTCTTGGGAATCAAGGTTACTAACATCAGGAAACTGTGTGGGAGATAATCTTGCTATTTTCAGAATTACCAAAAATTCTAATTTCCTTTTATGTGTTTATTTCCTGATTACAAATAAGAGCAACTGCATTCCTTTTATCATAACTGAAATACCTGATATACTGCAAATCAAAATGTTTGTCTTTTAATGTTTTAAATTGATTATGTCCACCAATTTAGTGGTACAAAAACAAGAAACACTTCCACTGTCACATAATGCCTTCACTCTGTTTAAATTTCATTCATTAGGCTCAATAAATACAAAAGCAGTAATTAAAATTGCATTTTTCCCACTATTAGTACTCATAGCTGCTGCAAAAGTTTACCTTTGGTTTTTAGCTTGAAATGCAGTCGCATATTCACTTAATGCACTTTTGTTTTGATCTTCCTACTCCTTCCCTGATGTGGACTGTCTACTCTTTCCACTGTAATCTACATGGATTTTGTATGTTTTTCTTTAGTATTTGAAACAACAGTGGTAACTCTGTGTAATTTTTTTCGTATTAATCACACTCTTAGAAGCACTGAGATGAAGATTAGTTAAAGTATGCAAATTTTCTTTTTCTAAACTCTTTTCCCACCATACTTTGGTGTTAGGATCTAATATTTGCCCTAAAATTTATGCAAATATATTGGAAGGAAACCCTTTAACACTTTGGTTTAAAACTTCTAATGACTGCAGGCATTCATTTCTTATATCCCCACCAGCGGCCGAGCGGTAAAGTCGCTGAACACTGGTAGTTCGGTCCGAGGTTCGAATCCCGCGAACGGGCTGGCTGCATGGGTGTTTTCGTGGTTTTCCCCATGTGTAACGTGTATACGAGCCAGTTTCCCTTAAAAAGTCCTCCACGAAGGCATCCCTCCCTTAAGGCAGATAGCCCTTGAGTGCTTTGCCGTAATCTAATAAACCAAACGAAACCATTTCTTATATCAATTAAGTTTAATATCACTGGTGCAGACTCACTTTTGCATAGACTGCATATTCACAAATGATTTCAGGTGAGCATACACTCGTTCACAGTGATTTGAGAACCTTCCTTCTAGCAAAGAAAAGGTTAGCTTATAATTGAGTCAACTGTGGATGCTGACTGTGCAATACAATAAGCAGATTTTAAGTACTGTAATTTTACTGCATCTCTTAAATTAGGGTTTGAAACAGCACTGGCTAAAAGAAATGTCTATAAAAGAAAGTCATTCATGCAAGTTAGCCGAAAACATTAGCAGAGTAATTTTTTGGTAATTTAACGTTGTTCTCAGTGTTTGTACAATTAGACAGCAGTGATTTATTTTCCTTGGAAAATTTGGTTAATTTATGATTTAATTTGACTACTACATTTAAGAGTCAGTATAAGTGTCAGTACTTTTACCAGTATGTACCCCAAATAAAGAACTGAAATTAGAATTTATCTCTGTCTCAAGCACTTAAAATTTACTCTTTAGTGTTTCTAAATTACTTTGGACATTTTCATTTGCTATTTTTTGCTTTAATTTTGTTAACTGTGTTTTTGATATATGAACGAGAATCTCTCTCAGAGACATTTTGAATTAGCAAGTCATTAAACAAAGAGCTGCAAATAAGGGTACTTATCTTTTATATATATATATATAGAACTTCAATCTTGAATTATCCTAACTATCCTTATATTCAGTTTGGAAATAAGGTCAAGGTCACATCTCCTTAAAATATTTTACCCATTCCAGCTTAGATCGACCATTTATAATGATTCAACCCCAAATATGCTGTTAAATACATTATAGAAATACTAAAATCACTCTTGAATTCCACTATGTTTATTTTACTATACTATACACTATGTTTATTTTACTATACTATACTTACTATAGTGACTGTCAAAACATATACAATTTCTTCATTATATTACAGTAAAAAGAATGTGTGAGAACATATATCACATGATGAATTATCAAATACCATAATAAAACTAAAACGATTAAATTAAACAAGTAAAAAAAGCAGTTTTCAACAAATGATTCAGCATTGCTTATAATTAACCTCCATGTGCAACTCCTAAACATTCTCCTCTATCTGAGCTCAGACTGTGACAGTATTTTTCTGCTATTTTGTAATATCTTGTTCTAAATTTATGTCTTAACTATTAAAAACTTTAAAAATAAGTTTTTTTTAATACTTTTTTTAGGCTTTCAATTTCTGCAGTTGTGATGTCTTATTTACAGAACCCTCAGCCAATGACTCTACCAGGGACTTCTTAGCATTGAAACATGCGTCTTAAGAATATTACTGTCATCATTAAATACACATAGAAATATTATTTGTATTATATCATAAATTATGTATTTTGATTGTAATATTCTATATATCTCAACTGGTCTCAAGCACTCTTCAGTTCAAAGAATTTATGTTAATAATACAAATATGAAAGAAGCAGTTTATTTATATTGTTAAGACTGAAAAAATCTGAATGTTCTATTTATTGAATTTCATTTTGTTTAAAGCTTTGATTTATGAAATGTAAAACAAACTATAACATATATATATATATATATATATATAATATGGTTTGATACATATTAATATTGTAACAACAAGCAACTAATAAATATTTTTTATTTATTTGGCAAAATGATGGTCTGTTTTCAGTTGAGAAATTGAATATTTTATTGTCTGACTATAATAATCATTAATTAATATGGTAATAAATATATATTTTTTGTTATCGTAAAATGCGCACATTTGACATTTAAAATTTGGTAGAATGACTCAGATTAATGCTTTATAAATTTTGTCATAGGAGCTGTTGATCATAAATAAATAAATCATTTAAATTTAAGTTCCACTATTTCATACTTTCATCCTTTTTTTTTTTTTTTTTTTTGGTGCCTTAAGAAAAGAAAATATCACCAAAGATTGTATACTTTGAGGTTTATGATAATTTCTGTTACATATAGTACAAAAGAAAATCATTAATTGCTGATAAATGCAGCACATGAATTTTAAACTTTTAAAATGATTATTCTGCAGCTCATTATAAATTATTAATATAAGTTTTATACAATATCTTATTGAATAGATTTGTTGTAAGTATGGGAACTTCAAACGAAAAATTTCAAGAGATCATACTTGTTCCTTTTATAAACATGTGCATCTGAACATCTGACTCATTAATGAATTTTGAAATTGTTCTTGAATTTTTCTATTTTCTTTTGTGTGTGTGTGTGTGTATTTGTGTAATTTTATTTAATGAAGACTTGAGTTTGATTTTACAGAGATTCCATCTGCCATTTCTGTACTGCAGTGCGAGTTTGAAAATTTAAATTTCAGTTTAATTTTTCTTGGTATTTTATTTGTTTTCTATTTGATTTGAGCATGTTGTCATTAATTAAATATTTCAGTAAATTGTAAACATGATGATTTTTGAAATGTCTTTATTTTCACAACTGTCTCTGAAATGCAGTAAGATAATCTACACTTTTAATACAGGAAATAAGGACCAAATTTATGGGTGTGCATTGCCAGACATAAAAATGATAGATTTAAAAATAGGGAAAAGATGTGTATACAAAAATTAGATTTCTACATGTATCTAAATCTGATGAATGATATATCTAAATCTACATGAAAGAAATGACATACTTCATGAACTTAAAATTTTCATTATCAAATAAAGTGTGTCATATTCATTTAAATCTTCAGGCACATCATGGAATTCTGCTTCATCTTCACCATCACTGTTATTCTGATCTATAAATAAATCATCTTCATTCCATCTAGATTGTTGTATATACTACATTTTAAAAATAACTTGAATTATGTTGGGTTTAATTTCTTACATGCTTTTATTATTCATTCACAGATTATTTTCAGACTGGCATGATGCAAATGTTTTTTCACTGTCAAACTTCCACGTATTTCTACTGTCGGTTTAAATTTTCTTTCAATGGCTTATTGACATATACATCTACAGGCTGAACTAATCTGCCGAAATAACTGCCATGCCTGTATTATACTCCAACAGTTTCTTCATATTATCTCTTAGAGGGTATGTGAACATGTTCCAAATTAAAATATTTTCTGGATTCTTCGAGGCAACAGGATGCTTTTGCCAAACATTTCTTATCCACAGTTTCGCACCATTTTTGTCTATACATCCTTTCTTGTGAACATGAATAAAAACATTATCAGGAAATAACATTTCAACATCATGTTTCTTTTAAAAATAATCATAGATTTAAATTTTTTACCATCTGCCAAGCAGGAAAATAGTACGGTGAGGTGAGATCTTTCATGACCTGTTGATTTTATGTGACCCATTTTTGTTTCTTTCACATTATTTGTGTTATTTCCTATCATATCAAACATTACTGGAGTTTCATCTACATTTCCACTATGTGAACATAAATATTTTTTTTTTTTTTTTGCCTTCATAGGTCGATGATATACATCTATAAACTTATTAATTTGTTGTCCAAATCTTTTGGAAGCTTTTGTGAAACTTCTGTTTTTCATCGTAGAGCTATATTATTCCATGCCATGGAATAATATAGCTCTACTCTTCCATACCATGGAATAATATAGCCATAAATCGATCTCACCAACTCAAAGTTGCTTTAAAGTTTTCACTTTCATTTGCATTTTTTTTGGCCCACTTTAAAGCAAATAAGCATACTCTGTTTTTCTTAAAATTAAACCATTCTGGTGTTATTTTAGATCTCAGTTGGCAGCACTTTCTTCTAGGATAGGCCATTTTGTTTCTCATTATGCAAATCACATTTATTCTTTGGCATATTAATTACCATGATTTCATTTTTCTCCTAATAACATATCGAGCTTTCACCAACTCTAACATCCGTGCTGTTGCACGATTTCCATTTTCTTTCTCAAATTGAATGAGTTTGCATTTGAAACAGCACTGTGTTTGTTTCATTTGGCAGGAACTATATCTGCTACGAAAAGGAACAATAGATGAATATTAAGTCAACTAAAGCAAATGTGATTTACTAAAAACCTTTGACGTTCTTTTCAAAATCACGGTTTCAAATGTCTAGAGAAAGAAAACATCCGACTTCTAATTCTGCGAATTCATTCAGGTCAGAAGTTCATACTTACCCCAAATTATGTCCCCCACTTTTTTTTTTTTTTTTTTTGAAACCGTAGAGTAACATTCGTAGGCATGCTGGCATTGAAACGAGCTTAGGCTCGAGCTTGATACTCGATAATTTTTTGTCATTTTTGAGTACTCGATACTCAAATCATAGCCCGACTGGCTTTCGAGCTCTATATATACAAAATGTTTTTTGTTCTGCATTTTATTTTTTAATATTTGTCACCGTATTTCTTAAGAATCCTAGAAAACATTTTATTGGTGTTATAAAGCTGCTTTTTTTTAAGTACATGAAAACTAAAACTTTTGTAATTCTATTAAGGATAAGTAAAGTTAAGCAATAAAAGAATTATAAATATATACAGTAAAATAATGCTTTTACTTTTACCAGTACTTTAACCTGAACAGTGTTGAAACTTGTTTTGGTAAAGAGATGTTGCTGCCTACAGTACATAGAAATGCAAGGATTTTTAATCTTTACCACTAGAAACAATATACTTTTAATTTTAAGTAGTAACATGTATGTAATATTAAATAATGATTTTCTTAGTATCAGTAAAAAAACAAAATAAAAAATTATTGAACATTAAAAATTCCGTGTTTCGGAAAACAAACATTTATAACAAAGTAATACGCAGAGAAATATACACAGAGACACAAGTAGAAATACTTGACTTGTGTTGAATGGAAAGAGAGGGACAGCGCGCTTTTACTCTGCATTCGATAAAAGAATGTCTGGAACAACAAAAGGATGATAAGAAGAATCGAGATGGTAGAGTGGGATATTTCACTTAGCCGCCATCAGTCGACAAAGAAAGTTGAATGAATGAAAATAGACAAGCAATGTGAAAAAAAGTTGGATCAGTAAGATCGTAAGTACTTCAAATAATTAACAAAATGTTAGGTAAGAATATCCGAAGGATATTTGTGTTTTTCTCTAGGAAAAGGTGAGCATCGCAAAGAACTGATACAGCTGTTTGTATGTAATACAGTCAAAAGTCTTTAATTCGGATTCGTTGGGACTTAGGCGATTCCGGATTATCGGTTTTTCCGGATGATAGATCATCAGTTTAAATCTGGTAAGATGGCATGCAGAAATTATAAAATAAAAAATATGAAACCGTAATTTATGAAATAAAGAGCAATTATGATTTAAAGGGTATCAAAATTTACAAAAAAAATAGCTTAATATTTATTTGTTTACTTTATTAAAGATTTCTTTCAACGCGCGCATGCGTAAAGCATACATTACGCATAGTTGAAATTAGAAAATTGCAACCAGAAAACTATTTGATGTGTATTCGTGATATAATGACGAGGAATTTGATTTAAATCATATCAAAGACAGAGTACATCAAGATGAAATACTACATTTAGTAAGGAATAAAATAAAAACATCTGCCTTGAAAATAAGGATAGTGCTGATAGATCAACTTCCAGTTCATAGCATGCTGCGTCATTGCCTCCCCCCCCCCCAATGCAGAGCAGCGTGAAATTGATAAACAGATTTCGGAATGGTTAGAGAAACAAAGGATATGCCTTTATCCTTTTTTTGCAGTGATTCCACTTTTTGTTTGAAAATGCTTTTGCAGTCTTATGATACATTGCCAAAACGAAACATGCTTTTGCTTTGTAGATCCTTTGCAGCTCCAGAATCGGAAATTCTTTATGACATAATTGAAAGTTCAAGCTTACTTTTATAAAATTGTTTTAACAGTCTGCAAAAGATAATAAGCCGGGTCCAATTAGAAGATTAAGGAATAATGCAATCTGCAACATTAACTGAAATAGATAATTTTAGCTTAGCTTATACCGTCTGTTATACATTAAACACACATGTGTAAACATATGTGCATGCGTGAAGGTTTTATGCGATGCATGCGCAGAAAGTTTGTAGCTTTGAGGTCCAGATTATAGATCATTCCGGATTATGGACGTCTGGATTAAAGACTTTTGATTGTAATACAGAAAGGAAAAAAATTGTTGCAAGTTTTTTAATATAATTTTGTATAGTATCAATTTGAAGATCTCTGTAAATATATGAATTTGGGATGAACCAGAATGCATTAATAATTTCACGAAGGGTTTTATTTTGAATAACTTGGATCTTTTTTATGTGGGTTTTAGCGCCGTGTTTCCATACCGGACTGGCGTGAAATAAAGTAGATCTAAGGATAGACTTGTATAAAACAAGTTTATTGTTGATAGTCAGATTGCTATGTCTGGCGAGGAGATGATGCATAGTAGCTATTGCAATATTGAATTTCCTGACAGTTTCGTGTTCACTTGATCTTCACTGATACTTTATTTGATCCGTCCACTGAATATCGCCATCACAGAAGATGGGATTAGGCGGAAGGAAGTTTGTTTGTCCTTTTCTGAAAATAAATAATAGCTTTGGTTTTGTCAGTGTTAATGGCAATTCTCCACAGCGTCATCCAGTTTTCAAGAAGTTCCAAATAGTTTTGTAAAAAAATTTGTACATTATTGATGGCTGAAGCTTGAGTTAGGATAGCGGTATC